GAATGTAGTAATACTCACGATGGGTGCAATTAACTTGTCTATATGATTAATTTGTAACGGGCATGGCTGTGAATAGTACCTCCGAATTCTAGATGAACGTGAGGGGCGCAGCCGTTTAGTTTCGTTTTGGATATATATAATTCGTTATGTAAAAAGCGATATCATTTATTTACTGGAATGCGATTGGATGCGAGTAAGTGACTGGGAGGAATCGTCTCTCATCATTCATTGCATTCATTGCATATACAGATACCTCATCTTAACGTCATATACACATAAACCATCAATAATTCTTCACTGCCAACCGCTACTTCCATCTCCCCACATACTGCCATCCATACTCTCTTCTCCATTTCCAATCCCCATCTCCTCCATACCAATCTCCATCCCGTCTAATTCTCTTGTGAAAAAGTCGTGTTCCTCTTGCAATAACTTCGTGTCTGCACCCATTCTTTCTGGATATCTTCTCAGATTGAACCAATGTGTCAGAGCTCTTAATGCTTGCTCCAACGGCAATGCTTCCTCAACTTCAGCATCTACATCACTACCTGCTAACCAATCATCTCTCAATTCAGGTCTACAATGTAGGTACACCGCCGTAATAACTCTCATATTTCCCTGTCTCCACTTGCGACCACAGTATGGAACTTGATTCTTGAACAATTTTAAAGTATAAAGGCGAAGTTCGGGTTGCGGAATTTTGAAGGACTTTTTGAGAATGTTGGATGATTTGTACTGAACAAGAAGTAGATTTCGATGAGCTTTGTTCTTACAAATCTTTTGCATGATGCGAAGAAAGTTGATGGAAGAGAAAAAGTTGCGCCAGGAGAATTCGGTGATAGGTTCCGAATTAACTTCGGTGCTTTGGAAGCCAAGTTCTTCGACTTCTGTATCTCGTCGAGCTGCATGCTGGCCTTCTTGAAAAGAAAGGGCCGGAAGTTGATCGTCATTATTGATCACGGTACTGTCCCTTTGTAGTTTTATTGGAGGTGGAGCGGCATCATCCTCACTGTCTTCTTCAGTGGCAGCGGCCAAAGCCCATTTGCTGTTGCCGTTACAGAATGCGAAGAAGCTGAGATCCGTTAGTCATGAGTCCATATCACCAGGCCAATGAACTAACCTCAAGTCTTCGCGGTCTATCCTACTGTCCACAATTCTGTCTATCTCTTGATGGGCGAACATTTTAAGAATCAAAGGTAGATAATTGGAATCTAGTAGAAGCTGCGTAAAGTACTCGAATTTGAGGATATCTATCAAATCAGCAAATGAGACGACATATAAGCTGATATCTAAACCTACGGGAAACCTTGAGCCATTTTAGGACGATGAGAAGAATACCGGATACTGCCTTTGAAGTAATCTCTCTGAACCTCATTGCCTCAATTTCTTCTACTGTGAGATCTGCAAGATCAATTGGATTTGGTAAAGGTATGTTTGCGGGATCTTGGGCTTGGCCTGGTCCTCGGGCGCCATTGGTTCGTGCGCTTATAGGGACGCTGCTTTGTGGTTGGACATTTATTGACTGGTTCATTAAATTCGTAACATTCGCCAACATAGCCTTGATAAGAACTATAATAAGTGATTGTAAATGCGGAATGGAATATTGCTATTGAAACTCGAGTTTTAGAGTCTGAACTGTGAGATGGGGCATCCAATAAACTTACGTAGAAAGACTCTACCAGATCCAACTTCCTTTTTACCTCATCACTAATGTCTTGTCGTGGTCCATAGTCAACTTCTACTTTCGGCGACTTTGACTTTTCAGATTTGAGTCCATCAGCCAATATGTGGTCGAGATCAAGTTCTTCTATATCCTCATCGTCTCTGTCATCCCATCCACGTTCAAATCTTAGAAAACGTTCTCTTTCGTCCCACAATTGACGCATAGCTCTAGTCATTCGCATTCTACCAGCAAATAGCTCACCGGCTTCCAGTATCGACTTGGGAATATCACTTCCTTCCCATTTACGACCTACAAGTAAATCCTGTAGTCCTGCATTGCCTTTTCCACCGGCACTATTGCTAGTGCTATCAAGGGGTGGGTACATAAACGGGAAGTTTTGATTTGTTTGATAGTTTTGTTTCTTACCTGCCTTTCCTCCAACTGGTGGGGATGGAGGTGGGGATGGAGCAGGCGTAGCTATGTGAACTGGCTGATGAAGAATTGAAGCTCCGCTGCTGTTGACATTCGTTGAAGGATTCATGACGCCGGTTGTGCTAGCTCGGCTTGGTCTATTCGGTAATGGTGGTAATATGGAATTATTATCGGGCTCTAGGGGTATTAAAGGTTCTGGGGGGATATATGCGGGGTATTTTGAAGTAATTTCTTGTCGAAAGATATGATAGTCAAGAGGGGAGGCAGTAATTATCTTCTCGCCACCTGAGTTTGCCAGTTCATCGGTTGCCCTCTTAACTTTATCGATTTCTTTAGTACCTCCAAAGACTAATAATATGGATTTCCAAAACAGAAGAAATATCTGCGTAGATAAAAGTAAGCTAACAGGTTTTGTGATGTCTCACTGGAATACTGACTCGTGTTTGGGGTAACTCGTTGGCCTCATCCCATCGTAATTTTCCAGTAATCGTCAACAAATAATGGACAATATTTGGCTCCAGGCCCACTGCGATCTCAAACATCAGTATCTGGAGATCACGAATGTGCATTATAATGTATACTTACGGAGAGTCTTCCTTGCAAGATCGAGAGATTCCGTGTGACAACGAACGCCTTCTATTGTCAAATAGAATATAGTCATAACATTATCGAGCTCATCCTGTACAAACGGTATGTCATCTTCCGTTATTTTTGTCTCTCGAAATTCGTCATCCCTTTCGCATAGTCAGTTGTGTTTCAAGGCACATGATGTTTCTATCCTCACCATAAATGTTTGAAAGCGGTTTCCATGACTTCATAGACCATCTCAATTCCACCACTCTCTGCAAGAAGTGATATACTTCTCTTCATACTTTCGACGTGCGAAGGTGTCGCTTTCGTTCTTCTTTTCTTTTCACCCGATTCAATGGTCTCCAATTCCTCCTTCTTTCCTGCATTTTCATCCCAGTTGCCTAGTATAATGTGTAGTAAAGTTTGTAAGCTTTTACATCTCCTCCGCAGGTCGCTAGCATGCAGACCCTGAACTTCCCTGTTGACAAATTTCAGTTGTTCCTCCCGATCGACTTCTGTCCAAGGTTTCGCAGAAAATTTCTTCCATCTTCTCTGGAAAGTATCCTTCGCTCTGTGTAGCCTTTTGAACTCTGCCTCGTTGTACGAAAACCACTCGTCCACCTCTTCTTCAAATGTTGCTGTGTCGCTATAAACAAAAGTATATGATGTAGGGTCAACCTTTGGAAATTCAGTAACGAGTCTCTTCAGTTGCATCAAGGAAAGCGAATCGTTTGGATTGCCAACCATCTGCTGCGCTGAAGGCGGCGGTGGGGGCTGATGTGGTGGAGGAGGTTGAGGTTGATTACGTGCAAGTTGAGGGCGTGCCGTAGAAGCATTGGTAGAAGCTTGAGATACTGGAGTAGGTGCAGGAAGACCTACATCTGCAAAACCAGTATCTGCCACATCAGCAACATCTTTTGAAGGAGGGGCATCTGGAACTGCTGGTTTTGTCCAAAGCGACATTGTGGAAGGTTTAGGACGCTGGTGAAAGGGGGAGGCTGTAGTTCGGTCAATCGTCAGATCGCAGCATTGTGAGTAAATCAATCATTCGCCAAGGTAAACATGAGGAAATTAGAATGTACAAAGTTGTGAATTGTATCGCATTTCAACATTTCCCCATATCGATGGTTCGCGCTTGACGCGATTGAAACAGAAAGCTGTCTCGCTTATGATAAGGAGATAAGAGCATTACGGATGGGTTTTAATAAAGGTAAGGGTGGTGTTAGAAATTGTAGCAAAACAGGGGTGCTTTTCGAACGCCTGCAAACAGAGAAATGTTATCACCCGAAATTGTTCCCAAGGACAACCTTTCTCTAGGTACGAGTAATTAACTTTTTAGCCGCATCATGAGGGTCAAATTGCTGGCCGCCGTGTGACACAATGCCTACCTTGAAGTCTTTATCAAACGAGTCCCTCTCAATATTCCAACGCCTTTACGACAGGAGTATTTGTCTGCTTATTTCCCTGGTCTATATAGCATCTGCAAACCACACAATTCACATCGTCTAGTAGCTACTACAATGCCTTTGGTTTCAGTCTTTCTCATTATGATGAAAAGTTGAGTCTCAACCTCATTGCACATCATGGAAAATAATACAATAACATTTTGAGGGATCCGTCATTCTCGTATAACCATACCACCCACTCACCCTGTTCAACAAGATTGTTGCTATCAAGACCAGGATGAATATCATCTATCTACACCTACTCTGTATGATGTAGATGAATCCTTTTGATGTTACGTGATATGATAGGAGGTACTTACAGACAGCTAGTGACCTATTTTGTATGCCAATCTAATCGCCCTATATATTTCACACCTCATCGTTGGATTGACGTAACAGAGTATATACACAGTTGTACCGCATCTATGACATTTGCTACACATATACAGCTAGGTAGGATTGCAGAGTTGGTTTGTTAGCTTCCTATGCAATGCCGGGGTTGATTGGTATCAGGATTCAGGATTCATGCTTCGCCACCAATCACCGGGTCACATATAATCAAGGGATAAGTCATACAAGCCGGAGATATCCATGACATAGATATGATATACAATAGTCATTAATTTCGTTACTGATTATGTGGTTCTGGAGTGATTGTAAATATATATTGGCCAACTGAGCGGAACTCGGCCAGCCGAGACAGTTTCATCTCTTGCCGATAACATTGCGATATTCTCGCGGAGCTTCTGTAGCTCTTTTGGGATTGGAGATATTTTGGCTCCAATTCATAGCCTGAAAGTACTCAATCTTTCATTCGCCCATCCGGGATTCATGCCCTTGAGATACCGGCATGCTAAGGTAATGCTATTTTTCTTCACTCTGCGTAAAACTCAATCGGCTCGTCTGAAAGGATGAGCTTCAGTGGTAAAGACATATTCGTCTAAACTGATTGTATCCGGCGAAGAAAATATCAAGTAAAAGTACTTGAGTGTTTCTGCCATCCAAAAGCTCTGCTCAAAAACATTAGCTTCACATTATTAGATATGATTATTGTATTGCCTACCTCCATGGAGTCCTCTTTCTCAGTCTCGCCACTGACAGTTACATTACTGATAGCAGAATTGGCCAAGGACGTTTGAGTTGACTTCATGATGCCTTCAAACATATTCCAAGCCGTTTCTCGTAAATCATCCTTCCCCTGCAATCGATACATAATGAAAATACTTTCAATAGCTTCAGGCCTAAGTAAATAGCGGGGATCACGGGCATGTCGGAAGCCATGAGTCAGGGACTGATCACCTTCTCTCTGCCACTTCTCGTTATCCCAGTTGCATGGTTCTAGCGTGGGACATTCGATGAGAGCATATATCTCCGGCATAACTCCAGTAGGAAATGATTGATAAACCCAGCCACATCCGCGGGCTATACGATCCCCGATGACAATATGGTCATCAATACCGAAGATTTTACCGCCAAGGGCAAACATTCCTCCGATGAAACAAGTAAGATGTTGCATTTCGGGAACAAGATGAATGCCATCCTCATGGACAAAAGTAGTGCCTGCAAATAAGAAGTCTTCTTTCCCTGGGAGCATGGGTCTGAAGAGCACGTGTTCAATCACGACATCCATAGCTCTGCGATACATCTTCTCGTATGATTCAGAGCCCTCGCGTCCACTAAGAAGTATGACCATCTTTGGAAGATACTCATAGAGTGAGTCTGCAAGCGCTCCGAGGGAGAAAGAGTTGTCTCCCCTGACCGTCCCCTCCCTGAAGTTGACCATAGTCGGCCACATTCCAGGTAAAAGCGATTGCTCTTGTGTACGCTCGAGAAGTTGTCTCATACGCTCTATCGCATCGTAATACTTATCATCGCCCGTCAATTGAGACAGTCTAGTGAATTCAAGCGATAGAGACGTTGGCCCCGAACTTGGATCATGTGTCCTGATTTTCCGTCAGCTAGATGTTCTACATACGTCCAAAGTGATACCTACCCAGCAAGTTGTCTTCCAGCCTTCACATCTTCAAAGGTAAGCCAGAAACCTGGGGTACGATTTGGCGTGTCGAATGCCATGTATAGCATGTTGCCCAATTCCACCGCTTTCTCCAGCAACGTTGGCTCTTTACTCAGGTCATATGCACCAAGAAGACCACCCAAATGCCGGATGGTGGTTTCAAAAAGATTGATTCCCGACTCTGTGGTATTGCTCCAGTCCAGTTGCACAGCAACGGCAGCAGCTTCGTAGAATTCCTCTTTCAGGTCCATGATCCAGAGAGTATCTAGGCAATCAACAAGATTGGCTGCCCAGCCTCCGAAAGGATCTTTGAATCCCCCGCTCACCGGTAACAATTCATCATGAAGCCAAGCATGACTTTTGTAGCTTTTCCATGATCTGATAAAAGCTTCGCGAACGGCTTCGCGCCGTTTCTTCGTGATTGCATCGTCTGTGTAGGCCTTGCTAAACTGGTGTTGTACTAGCGGAAGCTTCTTGGGCTTTTCTTTTGGCAAGGCTGTGAATGAATCAACAGGAAAGTACTGCTTTGCATGAGACCAGTCAAACTTTGCTGATTTAAATGTAAGGGGTGCTCTATATGTTGTAGGTCCTTTGGGTGTACTAGGTTGCTGGGCGTGATGGTGGAGTAAAAATGCGATCAGAGCAAATATAGCAATAAAGATGATACGATCTTTTCTTCGAACTGCAAAATCAGTCAACATAATGATTAAGGTTAATTTGTGAAGGAACTACCAACACATTGTTTAGATGAAGCGCGCAGGATAAAGGCTGGTTTTCAATTCCCATGAAATCCGAATGTCGTGTTGATATGGTGCTCGTATCTTAAGCGCCGATATGAAACTCGCCAAAATCCCTGCTGTCCATTTTTGGTAGATAAACTGCAATTTGGGCTAAATTCTTCTGGAAAAGAATAACAAACAATTTATCAAAAACGGCCAATGAAGTTTGTTATTCGTTACCAGCAGTTTGGTTCAGGGCGTTTCGGAACCTGCAGCACGCCTAAACAAGTGACCAAAGCGCGTCGCCTACCAATTGACTGAGCTGGTTGTGCCGTAAAGGAAATGATTGATAGATGAGAGCCAATACATGTACTCAAGTAACGGCGTTACACTGAATGCCCCTCTCCCCCCTACTACTGGGATTCCAGAAAGTTTTTGCTTGCCCCCAAATGATGTATGGGCGCTTAGGTAAGGATTTTGGGAACTGTTTCGTGCTTCCTCAAATGTGCTGAGCAGCCTCTTCTATGTGAGCAACTATGACTCGTGAGCCCTCATATTCCGCGGCGTCTTCACCACTTTCGTTACCATGCATTTCAGCCTCTTTTTGACGTTTTCGTGCTCTCTGGCAGAGGCAACATCATGTAACTACTCAGCTATTTCTTTGCCATTGAAAGATATACAAGTCCTTCCCGACATTGAAAACTCCTATATGCGAGGTATATCAGTTTCAGTCGGAACTCCAGCTCAAAACATAGTGGTTCTTCCTTGGGCGTAAATAGACCCACCATTTTCATCATTCTCAGTCTTTGCTAATATGCTTCAAGGGAATTGAATAATACTTGGCTTTATGATTATGATTCATTGTGCGATGCCAGTATTATTTTCGACGATACTATCTGTCGGGTCCGTCGCGGTAACCTGTTCCTCGAAAATGGATCGACGACTTATCAAAAGAGTAGCAACATGGTTGCAGTAGGAGCGGCAACTGTTGAGACGGCAAGCTATGGTGCTGAAAGTGGTATTGCAGATCTCATGACGACCAGTCTTGCAGGTTCGGACATATTTTCGCCAGGCTCTACCAACCTGAGTAAATTTCCGATTGGTATACCGAGAGAAAATTGGGATCATGGATACACCATACTCCATGCACTGGGGATGGGCAGCAACTCGACATACCTAAATAGCCTCGTCGAAACAGGAAAAATCGCATCAAAAGTATGGTCCATTTTCTGGGGACGGATGTGGATAGATCAACCGCTGGACGGACAGGTCGTGATTGGAGGATACGATCAGGAAAAGGTCATCGGGCAGAACTATACTCAGGCATTAGACTACAGCAACGCGACAGGATGTTGGACTGGTATGAAGGTGACTATATCTGATATTGAACTTGTCGACCGCACTGGCACTACCACTAGTATCTTCCCTCTAAACTTTGCTTTGCCGGTCTGCATTGTTCCACAACGCCAACTTTTAATCGAGGCTCCTGGCTCAATCTTGGATACCTTTCAGAATAAAACCAATACTCAAACTACAGGAGTCTCTTACGGGCTACATTGGCTCGCTCAACTATATGATGCAACCAATTGGTGAGTATCAATTTTCTAGTATTCTTCCCATCACTAACAGCAATATTCTAGCTTTCAAGGAGATTTGTCAATAAAGCTTAGCTCTGGGCTTGAGGTGACAATTCCAAATAGTCAATTTATGCCTCCTTTTGTTACAATTGAACGCAATGGCAGTAGAGGGTTCAACCAAAGTGAAAGGGAGTTTCTTTACGGCGTCACATCAAATCAGCCGTCAACTTTGGGTCGTTACTTTCTGACCGCAGCCTATCTCATGGTCAACCATGACGAGAACACTTTCACACTTTGGCAAGCAAATCCATCGACGGCCACAGATCTTGTCCCTACGATATCCAAAGATACGGTTGAGAGCTGTGCCAATGTAACTACAAACGGCGCAGTGGTAGTTAACGGAACCCTCACAACAGAGCCTGGAGCAAGCGACACAACCGGATTCAGCCATCCAGCAACGGATGCTAAGTCCGAAGAACAGACCGGTCTCTCTCATGGTGCGCTTGCAGGTATAGCTGTCGGCATTGTCTCAGTCGTGGCTATTCTCGCCGGAGTTGCTTGGTTTATGCTCCGAAAGAAGAAGCATCAGCAAGAGCCGAGACCTATTGAAGTCGTATACCAACAACCTCCCGCATTTGTGCCGGATAGCACATTTGCAGGATTTCATGAGGTTTATGGAACTCAGTCTAAATACGAAATGGACGCTAGCAGAAGGACTTACGAATACGGGCACAGGGATGAACCTGTACAAGAATTGCCCTAGTCAAAGAGGATTGAACGACGACCATACTCATACGAACTGGACATTATAATAATTTCATGTAATTATCTTAAATCATAATACTATACTTATACAAAAACATTGAAAAACTCTCAAACTAATTGATGTAAGGTATGATAGATAGATGTGTGTATCAAGATCACGTGGATACCTCTCCAAGCTTTGAGGGCTGTCCTGGACTCCCTGACGAAGTTAAACCTGTATCGAAAGCTTTGATTTTTTAACTATAATGGTATTATACCTATGCATTTAGAGATCTTCAAAAAGACATTATGTTGAGAAAAAGATTAGACAGATCGCAATAATCATTTGTTCTTTGCGGGACGTGTGGAATATATGGAAGTGTCGAAAATCTCACTCGACAACCAACATCAACTTATCAGGCCAATAAATCGTGGCCCTTGAAAATCTAAGATCAATCTTCTGGGTATATAACTCAACCTTTCTTACCTCCAAATTAAAAATACAATACCCAATCACGTCTGCAACACAATATCATCGATAATGAGACACTGAGCTATCCCACGAGTGTACTTAAAGTTATAGGCTAGTCGTGGTCATGTTTCATCAATTTGTGGTAGTTGTTCCGTGAAAAGTTGTAGAGACAGGTATGTATCCCATGAAGGACGATGTTGAGTTAAGGGGGAAAAATGCCGACCAACAATCGCAAATCGGTTTGCAATGCCTTTCATAGGACGAGGAATTCAAGAGCGATGAACCTACGACATTTGAGAAAATGAGAAATACGTATGATAGTGTTAGTGCATACGGCGATATGTTTGTGAGACCTAACATAACTCATCGTCGAAAGCAAAATTCTCCTTGTTAAAACAAGCCCTTGAGTCATATTCACCTAGCTGAGCTGATGATGAGCAAAAAGTTCACACCTCAGCAAATAGTGTCTGGGAAATCGTTTGGTGGAAATCATGTATTAACAAACTGTGATCGGAGCATTATGTTATATTCGTGTGAGAAGTATACAACATTCTGGATTTTCGTTGAAGAGCTGTATGCTGGCTTTGTGCAAAGATCCGCGAGTAGCTGTATTCGGTATCTAGTTGGAAGTATAGTGTCAATCAATTTGGAAATACTTGGAAATGGAAAATTTCATGAACGCAATGCCGATACGTCGAACTTTGAGCACCGTGAGCTAGATGTACAGAAAAGAAAAATTTTAATGCATTTGCCAGTTGAGAGTAGTAGGTGAAGCGGTTTCATATTATCCGTTATTTTCATGATGTCGTGCATATCATTCCGTAGTGTTCTCAAGCTATGGTGATCTGTTATGAGATCAATACAAACTGAGTTCTAACCCAGATTCAGTTATAATAGCATGGCTATGCATCGATCATACATTGAATGCGGCCAACCTAAATTCAAATCACGCAAAAAAGAAACGTTGATTATTTCATCAGGACATGTGTTCAAAGATCTCTTCCAGAGATCCTATCGGATAAAGGTGCCTTGTTTGCGCCAAAAATTGCCTTCTCTCTACAGTCTCACTGCGGCCATGAATTCTCGAATTAGGTTTGAACATGTTTGATCTGTGTTTTTTAAGTCACTGAACTTGATTTATGAGATCATATTCCATCATTTCGTTCCAGTACAAGATTGAAATTCCGAGAAATCAATGAATTCATTCTGGAAACTCAGTTGTTAGACATTTACTTAGCTTGACGATCCGATAACGAGCAGCCGATGCTAGATAATGTAAGACGAAGTAACTCTGTCATTCTTGAATATGATTTGCATGGCGGGGGATTACAACCGACCTGCTCTTTCTTTTATCTAAAAACCTTATTATTTGTGACGACCACTTTCCTATAGTATCTGCTTCACTGTCTTGTTAGATGATCAGCGTGAAGTTTTTGGCAATGCTTAAAGTATGTCATGAAAATCGTTGTGAATTTCGAGACATGCCAAAGTTACAAGGTCCTATCATTGCGATGAATTCAGTTTCAGGGTGTTCAAATTGGTACCTGCCCTTGCCTAATTGGAACACTAAATCGCATGTAGTCTAGGCTATGGAAAATAGAGTTCGTCGCCGATATTTCAAGGCAGTTTGAAGTGTCAAAAAAGTTTCTGTCCGCTTGATTGAAAGGGTAAGGCTAGTCAAAAAAAAAAAAAAAAAAACCTCAAAAGGGATCTTTTAGTCCTCGCTAATTTAAAGTCGACCGTCGAGTGCGTGCTAGTCACCGACTAATAATGGCCAAGCATCTTCTACTAGTAGATGGAAGTACAAAAAATCACTCTCACATTTCAAAATAGCAATGAATTTATTCTAATACCACCTAGATCCTAGAATATTACGGTTAGAATCTATGAATAGAATCTAGCTCAAATTCGTAGATTGTTAATATCCAATCGTAGGTTCCAGTCTCCCGTCATAGATTCTAGCCATCGTAGAACCCAAGTGACATGAGTGAGCAAATCATTTACTTTTGATAGCACGAGAGTAAATCACCCATAATTAAATGGCAATACATACATGATCTAACACCGAAAATATAAAGTTTCCCTTCCCCCAAAAGTAGATCCCAAAAAACGAGGCAAGATGAAAGGTGAAGAATAAACGTGAAAGAAAAAGGGAAAGAACAATGTATGTGACAAATAATACGGTTTCCAAAACTGTGTTCGCATTAGTGAAAGTCTGAACAAAAGAACCTTCTTTTTTTAGACAACATTCTTTATTTCTGATCTACACGACGATTGGTACTATTGGCCAACCGTGGCTATGTAAGATCTTCAATTGGAATTTGAGGCCGACGGCTGCGAGATTTCTATCAAGTCGGAGAAAATTTTCCTCACGTCCCAAATAAGCTATTTTAAAGCTTCAAAGCAATAATAGTTAAAGTCTAGATGAGATTATGAGTTCGCGAAAATGAGTTCGACATCGCCATGACGATGAAGTGACACCTAATGGTGAGCCATGTAGGTAAAAACTAGAGACTTAAAAACCTCGATGTTCTTGAGTATCTCGGTGTTAAAAATAAGCTATTTAACAAATGTAGAATGACGTTTGCATTATAGCGTTCCCCTCACTTTTGGGTATAAAAGGGGTCATCTTTCCCCATGGAAGAAGAACACTTGAGACTGCTGAGGTTGAATCCGAAAGAGCACATTACTATACTCGTCTCATAGGTCCAGATATCACCAGAATTCTAGTCAGTATCCCCAAATCTTTCATTTATAGTTACAACGAAGTCGTTGGACACTTAGAGATCTTATCGAATGATTAAGATCCATGTAGCCATCTACAATATCATCATACATGACTGACAAATTGTAGAATTTGAACCATTCAAGATGGTGAAATATTTAAAAATTGTCGACCCATTCATCGTGCTTGCGGTCTTCGTCGCAAGCATCGAGGCTCAAGATCCGGCAAAGCTTCCCACCAACTATCAGCTCTTCGCCGACGGAATATCACCAGAGCCATACCTTGCCAAGTTGCCAAATATACATGAATTCCATAAGAACAGAGATGTCATTACAGCCAGCTCTCAAGGTACAGTTCATGTATATGTAAATTCTGGCGCGACGGAGCAGCCAGTTTTCCTGGAAGGCAAAGTTTACAATGATAACTACGTTCATGTACCATTGAGAACCTCGGTAAATCAGGAACGTCCACAGATAAAGCCGGGCGAGGTCTTAGTTGAAGGAAATACTGAGAAATTCTGGCCCCAGGGCACCGCATACACCAGACGAGAAATTGTCCAATTTGGCTGCAATGATAACGGTACCAGATGTACCACCGAGGGCTTTCGCTATAGACCGAATGGTGACATTTACAACGTCAACGAAGCGACATTTAACCCAAAGGGTAATGGCCATGTACACGCTGGTGGAGCTCACCTGGATCACAGTCTTGTAGATGGCTACACAACCAAAATGCTCGTAGCTCCTGACAGCGATATGTGTCTTCCGTACGGCTGCACCGAAGACCCGACCGGTGGTTGGTGTCCAAATACCCATAAGGTTATCCTTAGTGGCGAGCCAAATCATGCGGGTTGTGCCTCTGATTGCAAGATTCACAATACTGATGCGGCATGCTGCAGAGGGGTCCATAATCACAACCAGTGCCGAGCATCTAGCCAGCACTTCTCAAACCGATGCAAGAATTCGTATGCCTATGCATATGACGACAGAGTTGGTCTGAAATTCTGCAAAGAAGTTCCAGACGTGATCTATCACTTCTTCAACATGGACTTGGATTGTGATTGGGCAATTGTCGACCCCAATACAAAGGAGTTATCTGCCGATTCGAGAAAATGTTTGAATAGATTGATTCAAGCTCCGGCTTAACAAGATAATGTTTGTACTTTCCCATTTGTTTTCACTCTACTGTAGCTGAACTAAAGCTAACATTTTACTTCTCAGTCCTTCTACGAAGGGTCTCCAACCTGATTTATTCCCTTCGAATGGAATATTATGCCGGCGATGGGGAGTTTGATTTTTTGGTTTTTTTTATTCAAATTTCTTTTTTGTGTGTTTGGCACGCATTCGAAGTTTGGAGATTGGACAAGTTTGATGAATTTTCGTAGTGATCGGAAACTTCAGCTTGTTGTCAGAATGTCCTGGAAAATATGTACACGTGGTTTCTTTATTGTCCCGCAAAACAATTGATGTTTTGGAAAAGATCGGGGTAATTGATTGGAGTTAAATAGATTTTTAGGCGCAATTAATGTAATCGGTAATCTCAAGTATTCGAGTTTTCCCGTGAATTCCAGGAGTACGATCAATCATATACAAGACTGTCCCTTCCCTAGCTCCCCGTGAAGAGAATCTGAAATCTAAGAAGTTGGAAACTCATGAGAGGCTGCACTGATACTGACAGCGCCGATTATAATCCCAAAAGTGGTCCACGTCAAGCACTTGGAGAAATTGCCTTGAAGCACCTGGACAGTCGAGGTCCTTCATCTTGGTATAATCTTGGCAATAATGTATCTTCTCTGTTCTGGCTTTGTCTGGACCGAAGATTTACAGTCGATGGTATGAACGCTTCTACGCAGTTCTTTCTCTTGGAAAACGAAACTAAGTGCTCGTCTATCAAAATGACCGATATTGATTCGACGATGTACTGCCTAGCAGCCGAAATGTGTGAACTCCCAAATGACGGCACTACTCATCATGGCTACACTTCCGATTGCGACTTTATGGACCGACGAGGCATGCTGCACGGGACAATAAAAGGATAATCTCAATGCGCAAGGAAGGATTTGCCCACCATCCAGCACGTTCTTCCGGGAGTATTGTCCAGAGCTATACTCATACGCATACGATGGTAAGCGCGCCACTCTGGTGTGCCACGCAGAGGATGTACACTTTTTGAATAATTACAGACTTCTGAGTTACTGGAAGATGAAGGAATTGACGCATCAATCCAATGCTAAGATTAAAGATTCGGTTTTTGGAAAGGTAGAAGCAGCCCCTTGTGGCGACGTGGAAATAACTTGATACTACTTGCATTTATTTGGCGATAGGAAAGCCTTTAATGCTGATGCATCAGATCCAAATCAAGCAAATGTAAACTGATGTTGAAACCTTGAATCTATGCTAACGATTGCCTGTACATGGTTGAGGCTGAAGTTTTGCTGTTCCCGACTGGGGTTTCTTAAATGCGATGTCTGTTCTTAGAAAAGAATTGATGAGCAAAATCGTTCCGATTCAGAAAAGGTCACTGTAAATTTGCCGGAATAATTGAAACGCAGGACTTAGGTGTGTGATCTTGTGTGATTTGGATTTTTGATCAATCTCCACAGCACTCCAAGTTCAAAAACTGCATTCCATCATCTGAACGAATGTCAGATAAATTGGTCGAGTGAAGACCAAAAGACGGAATGTTGGTATCTGAGTTGTTCATATCGCCAATTTCATCCCAAGAACTATCCCAATTAAACACCAGTTCAGTGTCCGCGGGTATATTCCAATCGTCGGTCGTCTCGTTGCCCTGGGTCATTTCCACCACCTGTCGCCCAACGACTTTCATCCTGTACTCTCCCAAAGTTCCACCTGTCTCTCTCTTGAATACCCTACAAAAGTGACTTTCGGTCAGCCCTACTTCATTTGCCATTTTCTTAATCGTCCATTTCTGGTCACCATTGGCCAGCTCGCTCTCGATCAATTTCATGGCTTGATCAACCATCCTTCTCCCTCTTCCCATTTCACCTAAGTCGTCAGCCTTGGATCCAATTTTTACGTTCATAGAAGCGGTATTCCTTGGCTTCAAACCGCCATCTACTCCGTGCTTGATCATCGTCTCATCAATATCAGGCCGACATCTCTTGCAAGCTCGAAAGCCGTCCTTCTCCGCTTCTTCCGCAGTCTCGTGGAAAATAATATTCGCACGACGTGCGAGACGCGAGGGACAAGTGGGACGACAATATATTTTGGTCGTGATCACGCTATAGATGAATGAAGAATGCGCCAGAGGATCGCGAGATAGGAGTGCTTGGTAGCGTCGAGTTGAAGTAGGGAAGAGATGTTTGTTTGGCATCTGAACTAGCCTATCACCCATAGTGAGGATTGATGGTTAGATACACTGCTTTGAAGTGGAATGATTAGAATTGGATATGTAGTAATTTATCTTCAACTTTTAACAATGAGAGGCGCGGTTGACTGGAAAGATGACTTAGTAATCACTGTGATAGAAGTGACCAATGAGAACCTTCCATAGACCTCCACTCTTTGCCAAGACCATCCAGATATATCTGCCTATTTTTCTTTCTTGCTAGAATTGTATTTTCCTCTTCGAGAGATCTTCATTGCCGAGAGATATTATAGCAAATAAGTTTGGTTCGTCTCAGAAGCATAAGTTGAATAGAATAAGCCTAAGGGTGAATCTAAGCTATTAAGCAGGTCTGGATTTACATCCTCACAAGCTCTAATCACTGCACAGAGATCAAGATTCAAATTCATGAAAACCACAAAGTGAATTAAGAAGTCAAAAATTTGCTACTCTAAAGTCCAGAGTCCCTAGATTCGTCGGTGTGGCAATGTCGCAAACAAGCTCTCTATCTGATTCAAGCAATCTCACCATGACAGGAATCACAGATTTCCAAAGAGTATGTTTCTTCTAATCTTATTGATTATCTTTCTAACTCTACCTCCACAGAAAGTCTACACTCTTCTCCTCCAGATTCCTGCAGGGAAAGTCTCCTCTTACGCCTCTCTTGCCAAAGCTCTCTCAACTGCTCCTCGAGCAGTTGGAGGGGCTTTGAGACGAAATCCTTATGCTCCGCAGGTTCCGTGTCATCGAATTATCTGTGCTGATGGGGTAAGAACTCTTTATTAGTCCATTGAAACTGTGATCATAAAGTCTTCTCGATGCTGATGAGTTGGTCAACAATAGGCAATCGGGGGATTCAAGGGCGAAGCGCAGAATGCCCCGTCGGGCATTAATCAAAGTGAAAAGTTGGGATTGTTGAAGAGTGAGGGAGTTGAGTTTGATGAGAATGGCCAATTACAAGATAAAGAAAGGTGGTGGGATGACTTCTGTGTTTGAGCGTCACCATAGTATGCGCAAAATAATCTTCAAATCAAGGAAAGAGAATGGAGAAGTACTTGAGAGCTAAATGCCATAACAATCATGATCCGAAGTTTCTAACTCATTCGTTCTGAAAACCATAATCTTGACTTCTAAATCTCTCTGGTCATCTCGGTAAGAATGATACATGGAGCATCTCATGGACACGAGAGCAAGAAGGTAGACTCGAATATCTAGAAAATTTGTTATTTCTGGACGACCCATCCAAGGTAACATATATGACGACAAAGTTTGTTCTGATGGTAGAGAATATTTGACTCTGAAAGAGAAATCAATCGTATCACATAGGAATTGTGCTTCACCCACGTAAGTTTCAGCCTGGATAACACCGCAACATGACATGCGTACTGAGGCGGAATATTGATTGTTCATTCAAAGCTCTTCTGCCACCCCGGAAAGAATCTGGTCAAAGATACCTACTCCTTCTCTTCCCAATGCAGTCCCCACCCCCACTATCGACGCACCGACTCGGCGCATTCTGCTAAACCCCGCGCTATCTTTTACACCTCCAACACCAATTATCTCTATACTCCTCATGTGTTCTAAGGGTGATGCATCTAGCATTCTTCGGATTGTTTTGACATTTCCTAATGCAATGGGGTGTAATGCATCACCAGCCATTCCTCCAATACCTTCACCATTTGAAGAGCCCAGTGCAGGGTTGCCCAGGTCATCTATGATCAAACACGACCCGAGAGTGTTGGTTGTGGTAATAAATGATATGGCATTGTCTCCAGAAGGTAAGGCTCCAGATTCTAGCGCTGAAATCAAGTTCTTGAATTGCTCAGAATACGTGTACGGCGGAGTTTTGATGCCTACATGAATTTTGTCGGTTGTCCCAGTTTTCATACTTTTTATGACTTTAATGTACGAAGCCATTGCTTCCCCATCATAAGCGGGAGGTGGCTTTCCCACAATGTTAGGGCATGAAAGATTGATTTCCATCATAAGATTCAAATTGGCTTTTCCATGTTGTCGCAAAATATGCTCATAGCATTCACCAACCTCTTCAGCTGAACCAGTTACGGAAATAATCCATGGTTTTGAATTAAGCTGCTGAAGGCTTTTATCTTGCGCAAGCTCAAGAAGAATTCCCAGGTATGAGTCTAAAGATATGGGAGAATAACCGAGTGTGTTTAGGCTATTCGTCTCGCCTGGAATGACGTTACTTCGGCCCTCAAAAATTGAAGCGCTGGTGGAATTGGATTTAGGATCAAAGAAAGTATATTGGTGTAGTTGTGAGTTGTGCAGAAAAGGATTTAAAAGCGAAGTTCTGACCGTAACTGCACCGGTGTGAGGACAGCTGTAGAGGGCGAGGAGATCGGATTTACTTGTTGCCCACTAGCGATGACAATGAGCTCCTAATACCTCATGGTACTCTTTTAAGATTGGTACTTTCCACTTGCAAAGTATATCCAACTTATATCTTCTTGAGAAAGAGCATAAAAGCGTTATCAGTAACACTGTTGGCGTAGTGCAATGCAAAACAGAACGGAAGTCTTCCGGCTTTCTTCTACAGAAATGGAAATCAGTGGTAAGGAGGTAGACTCACGGGATTGGCTGAGTTTATCAGTGGAGGCGAGATTCTCAAGGCATTTGTAGTTTGTTTGCTGGCCATGATTATCTTGATGACTTTTTGGTTGTTGTGAACGATGACATTAGTACAATCTGCTGCCTTGTCTTTCTGGTATTCAAACCACCTCGCTTAGTAATCGATATCGGTGCAAGTAATTTCTAACTCCGACTGGAATAGCTTCACAGATTAAACCCCATGTTTCAAAATGATCTCCTCTATTTCAACGATGTTTGATGACTATAATTTCTCTCCTCTGCGAGTCCCTCTGAGATTCGAATTTCATTGACAAGCCCTTCTGTAATTCCTGCACTAATTCCTCTCGTTGTGTCTTCCTTTCATCCCTACTCTAGCTTAGAAGCAAGATGGTCACCTCACTCTCTACGAACCCTGATCAACTACAGTGCGAGATACGATTCCCAAATCTTGTCTTCGGAAGCATCTACATCATCAATATGCTGAATTGCATGCAAGCACATCTACTTCCAGCTCGAAAGAACCCATCTCACAATTCTCGATCTCTATTTGACTAGCTGTGGCATATTACCCGCGAAGGCTGTGAGCGTTATGGTTGATGTAATAAGACTCCCCATTGGTAGTCGTTGAAAAGAATATCATAGCTTGCGCTGGACTTACTCCATCTGCTATGTTTGGTAATGCGAATTCCTTCATGCGAAGTTCCAGAGTACATCTAGGCACGAGCCGATATGCAAGCGCGGGCAACTCAACTCCTTGAAGCGCGCTCATTCCTCTACGATCTCGAGCCCACATGTAATTGCAACCAGAGTTTGTGTTGGATATGGAATACTGGTGTTGAAACTATTGGCGACTTCAGATGAAGAAAATGAATGATACGACACTTTGCTAAGAATAGGTTGTCGCTCGGAGACCCTAATATTCCACCGCAAAATGAAGTGCGAATTGCAAACTGCGCACTGAGCCGAAATTCAGGAGCCTATTTAGAAGAAAGCCACAAAAGGGTTGCAAGCGGACCTCCCAAAGAACCCAACCCAGCTGTCGCATTCTCACGATTAGTCGCCGAAATTGCTGAGACTCGACAGAGAGAGAACGGGAACAAGTCAGGACGTACAGCAGAAGCTACAACCCTAGAAAAATCACTCTCATCTCACGGTACTAGGCATGAACATTCTATGTTGTCATGATTCGCAAGAATCTCTACGACCTCGAGACATGGAAGCAAATTTTACTCAAAATATTCACGTAGGTGCCTCCAGGAAGTTTTGCAATTTGGAAGAAACAAGTGGTTAGGGTGACATCATAAATGTTTAAAGGGACGAGAAGGGTGTGCGGCTTCCCATTAAAAATTAATGGAGATGGGTCCTTATGCTATGGTAGGCGTATGAAAATCCTCCTAGTCTTGGGTGCATTCTGACATTTCATATACGACTCATCCTGATCATATGCCATTTATCAAGCGATAGAATTGCGTCTCATACCCTAAATATAATTCAGTCATGAGTTGACACATTTTCCCTGCATTTTGAATTGACTGCCTTCTCAGGAACTTCGCACATTATCATGTGGAAATGCTATCAAATCGCCCTGATTATGTGTGCTAACTTATTGAAATCTTTCGTACTGCAATGGAGCACTGACACGTACCATTCTGCCATACCCTTATGCAGCATTGCGGGTCACGACAAGCATTCCAAAGTGCAGACAAGAGTGGGCCATGCCCACAATGGGAGTATGAATACCCCAAAGCGATCCTTTCCCCAGATTCGAAGTATGGATCAATTACTACCAGATCACTACGCAGCTCTTGGAATTTCACACAATGCTGTTGCGCAAGATATAAAATATGCTTTCTTCGCTTTGGCTAAAACCTACCATCCTGATAAAAACAATGGTGGGCCAACGAAGGAATTTATAAAGGTTGACTATTTTTCGTCTAACAATAGGGGGACGCAAAAGAGATCTTAGTGCTGATTTATTGAAAGGTCAGAACTGCGTACGAAGTGTTATCTGATAAAGATCAGCGAAGTATTTACGATCGTCAGTATGAGAAAGTAATAAGTAATGCGGGATCTCAAACATCAAAGGCATCGGGTAACTATACGTACGAGGGGAAGCGAGAAAGACGCTATTCTTATAGGAAGGGATCGAGCGAAAACGAATCCGCAAAGAGTTCGGAAGCAAAAGAGGCAGAATATAAAAGAAAGGTGGAGGAAGACAATGCCAGGAGAGCAAGCGAATCGTTGGATTCTCTCATGAAAGAGTTGGAGCGAATTTCTGAGCGTTTCGAAAGAAAGGAATATTGATTAGGAAATCCAATTTAAGACCGCTATTGGACAAAATGATGGAGGGCAGAAGATTTGGAAAAGCTCATGACAAAATGAGAGCCGTACAGTCTTTGAGGTCACTGGATGGAATAGGTCGACTGCGGATGAAACACGACAAATTCTCAGAAAATCGATTTTCGAGAGGCAACAGATCTCTGAAAGCATAGTCTTCTTGTTTTCCCGAAAGAGAGCCCAGTAAATATTCGAATCTTTCATTTAACTTGGGTTAAAAGACTTGCACTTCGCGCCTCTCAGAATGCGGCATTGAATCTTGCGCGTTGAAAGAGAGGCTTGATGAACTCAGTGGAGCCACGGGAAACCGAATGCTTAAGATGTGTTGGATAGCTATAGCCCAATTGCGGATTGGGAAGTCATAACATGATATTGGAGAAGGGAATTCGGATTGCGTTTAGGACATTGGGCGTGAACCTTTGTGAAAGCAGCTGTGTGTTTGGGATCTCCAGTGAGATACGTCATTCAAGGGTATATTCTTTTTGCTTTTTCAGCGTATGTATCCATAGTTATGTTCTATTATTTTTGCTCTGCGTTGGCGCACAATCTCAAAGCACCATATTGGCCATGTCTTTCATCGATGTATTCCGATTTCCCACTTAACCAACCTTCTCTATACTTTTAAATCTCGACACTTCAGGCTTTTTTTATAGCTATTGATTTCTAGTTCCATTAAAAGCTTCGCCCCGCTGGAAACTTGAGTCTATTTGTCCGGACACAGGACTCGATATCCGCACACAAGGGTGTTGTTGTAATCGGACTTCCCCATCACAAACCTCCGACATGTCAGCCCCATTTACAAAGTACAGTCTTCTTTACTAAATTCCACACTGATACTCATCAGTATCACGTCCCAGCCTTACCGGTATATCTCACAATTACTTGGCATACGCATGGACGCGCAATCAATATTTTCTTATCCATCCATATCGTTGCGATTGTTCACACAAAACACCACATGAGCCCGATAGATACCAAATTCACTTGGCTGAATCGACTGACTCTACAACTCAAACTTCCATCAAACTTCTGACAAGAGCATTGACCGTCCGAGATCTCTGTGAAAATGATGGATTGGGAATCTGGCATACTAAAAACCACGCACGTCCTGTAGATCTATCGGTTTATCAGAGGATGTCTGAGATTACCGCTTTTTAAGAACACATCAAAGTTTTGATTGCACGTCTATGATGCTAAATCTATGTGTAAAACTGTAATTGTACTACCAATACGAAGGCGCAGGAAGGTAAGCTTAGATGCGGGATCTGTTTCAACTGCAATTGTTTATTCTAATTGATTTTGGTTGGTTGAACTTGCATAGTGAATCAAGCTGCGGACGCCATTTCGTAAGCAGCTTGTGTGAATGCCTTTTAATCATGATTTTGCTTCTTCGGCGTCCTCAGACATATTCAATGTTAAAACCCCGGTGTCCCCCATATTATTGAATAATGAACCTTCCTATGACCCAATATTGATATCGATACTGTGATGAAATATTTTTGAGTATTCAACATGAAAGTGATTAATTTTGTCTCGTTCCTAGCCTCGATCACAAGCATCGGTATGTGTCACTCAGAGCCTGACTGGAGTAGAGATTACTAACCCACATCTTAGTCCCCACTGCTTATTCTCTCGCAACATATTCCGCTGCTTCTGGTGGTCCCTCTTACTCTGTCGGGATCTCTTCAAGTAATTCAAACAATGTCTACTTTCAAATCACGGCACCAACCTCATATCAATGGGTTGCTCTTGGCATCGGTTCCCAGATGTCCGGAAGTACCATCTTCGTTATGTATGCTGATGGTACCGGCAATGTGACACTGTCCCCTCGAAAAGGAACCGGACAAGTCGAACCAAAGTATGATAGTAGCATAACCGTCGAATTACTTTCCGGGAGTGGCATCGTGGATGGAAACATGGTCGCCAATGTTCTCTGCACAAGTTGTAGTTCTAAATTATCATCCACAACATCCACATCATCAAATTGGATAGCCGCATGGAATTCCGGTTCTGCTCTCGATACTACCGATACTTCGACGTCGATTAAACAACATTCGGGTTCTAACCATAAATCGTTTACTTTCGATCTGTCGCAAGCTCAGTTGGAATCTGATACAAATCCATTCACTTCAACTTCTGCAGCCACGACTTCTTCCAGCGGTAACTCCACGGATTCGTCAAGTTCATCCAGCTCTTCTAGCTCCAGTGGACTTTCTCCCATCCAATCATACGATATGGCACATGGAATCATCATGGGAATAACCGTGGTCTTACTATTCCCCCTCGGCGCCCTTTCCATGCGCGTTTTCGGTCGCCCATGGCTCCACGCCATCCTACAAATCCTATCCTTTTCCTTCTTGATAGTAGGTCTAGGCTTGGGAATCAAACTTGCAGGATTAAAATATGGCTCCTTTGGCGAATCAACAACACTCGCAAAACGCATCGTGATTGATGAAATCACAAAGAGACAGTTTGGAAATTTTGGAAGTAGCACGTTTACGGGGACGCCTCCTTGGGCTACTGCTACGGGTACTTATAGCGGGGGATTCGGTCGTCCGACTTCGACTTCTGATTCTGGGTCCGGATCGACTTCCGGTTCTGCATCGGCGGGTTCTGGGACCGCAGCCGTTACGGGCGCGGCTGTTACTCCATCTTTAGGAAAGACTGTAAGTTTCTTCTCTTCTGTTTCTTTTTCGAAATGTTCCAGGCTCACGATTTATAGATCTCAAATACGACCCACATGATCTTCGGTATCATATTAGTAGTTTTATTCTTCATCCAACCATTTCTCGGGCTCATCCATCACTGGAGATACATGCGAGCTCAACGACGAGGAATGTTTGGACATATCCATTTATGGTACGGTAGGATAATAATTGTCCTCGCTGTAATCAATGGTGGGTTGGGATTGCAGTTGGCTGCCAATACACGGAATGGAGAAGTAGCTTATGCAGTTATCGCTGCGTTTATGGGAGTATTCTATATTGGCGTTGTGATTCTCACTTCGATGAGAAAGAGAAGGTTGAATAGAAATGGGTCAAAATTCTAAGCGTGGACTTTACGTGGTTGAAAATTGAGGATTCGGTATGGAGCGGGATTAATGAGCGTCGTACGAGAAATGAAAGAATGATTTTACGCATGTTATCAGGGATTATGATTATATTTGTTTTGGATTTTTGAATGTGTGACTATCAATACAATGATAATAACGGAGCGATTCCTCGACTCGTACTTCGTAATGTCTTCTGTCCGCGATCTTCATGGATATGGGAATAAACTCCGATCAAACAATAGTAGAAGTTCTTGGAAATTCTTCCATGATGGCCACTTCCATCCAATCACTCCATATCTTCCCATACAGTAGATGATGAACCTCGAACCATCAAACTCCCCGGCCTTACCATACAATCATCTCGTCCCATACACGAAGCCGGAACCAGCTCCTACAGCTCTCCAGTTGACTCGAAAGCTGACACCTACAACCTCATCGTGGTAAAGCGTCCAAAAGTGATTTTTGTATAAATGCGCCATTACGGGGCGAGCAAACTCACTCATGTCCAAGTGGCAAGTAGATTCTCATCGAAATTCCAATCCAATGAATTTAGCAAATCAAAATCCGCAATCATAGGTGGAAAATTCATCGCTTCTTCTAACGATCCGGGCTGGAAATAGGTTGCAGTGGCGCCTTGATCTTGCGTAACATCACCATTCATATTGTTGTATGAGGTATCAGAATGATTTAAAGGGCCGTTGCAATTGGTATCTGAGACTATTTGGGAGTTAGAGTTGAAGAAATTGGAACGAGGAAAGTGGAGAGGTGGGGTTGGGGAAACTTGCTAGTTTTTACAGTCGCGGGAGGATTAATTGTTTTTCTCCAACGTAGAAAGCAATCATGAACATGGCTTATAGACATTCTAGATTGAATTTTAATATCTATAGGGGAAAAGTCCTCGCGTCTTCGGTTTAAATCCCCTGACCCAGCACTCCTCCACATTCTGGCGAATGCTTCAGCAATGCGATCCGAGAAGTCATTTGTAGCTAAACTTGTGGATCTCAATGCCAAGATCGCGGCATTGAAGAGGGATCTCCCTTGTGTGCTATCGAATTGCATGGCATATGTACTATTTAGTATCTTTAAGAGGACACATGATGCGCATATCAAGTTTTTGAGAATGTAATATGAGCAATAAGGAAGTATTGCTTCGGAATGAAGATCGTAATCGAGAAGTGCTTGAATAAATCTTGTAGCAGAATTATATGCCGAGGAAAGGGCACTTAAGTGGTTTGGTGAGAATTCGGGGACATAAAATGCAAAGGTGTGCAAATGAAGTCGAGCGGCAAGCAAGTATAATTTATTAAGTGCTAGAATTGTGAGTGGTGTGGATAAGAAACAGTTGTTACCAAAGAAGGTACTTACATGAGAACGTAACACTCTCGGACTCTAATTGTTGATATTGATGTTCGAGCATGTTAGTCATTGAAATTTGTTCATCGATATTAGATAGGACTCCTGTCACTTCGGAGCTATTTCCATATAATGTTTTCGAGACTTTCTGACAAAACTTCTCAATCTTCAATCGTTGTTTGATGCCTGGTGGAAGGATTTCTGAATCTTGTTCAAGGCCATCTCCAAGCCCCCAATCATAAATGGTTATTGTAGGTTGGCCATTCGCAGTCGAAACACTGAATGTTATATTAGTTTTTCAATCTGTGATGATGGGATTAGAGGCGAACCTTTGAGAGACAATATTACACAAAGCCCACGTTAACTTCCTATCACTCAATTCGGCTTCCGAGACATCTCTTGTCTGCTTAAGAAAATCTTGTGCATGGCGGGGTCGATGCATTCCAGTTTGGAGAGAAATCTGCATCATGATTCCACTCAACATCCAGGTCGGATCTAATTCACTCAGTCCCATAGTAGCAGAAGCTTTATCATTTCTACTCTTGGTAAAGCCTCGTATTAAAGGTACAGGCCAAGTACATAACAATGCCAGAGCTTTTATAGATGACGCTCTTTGAGGCATATCAGATATAGAGTTCCACAAAGATTTCATATATGCTTTCGACAAGTTGAGTACCAAAGTAGGATCTTGGGGGTAACGTCTAGCTGATACAAGAACGATCCCCCATCCAAGTACTGGGTCTTGAGCAAAGGTCTGATCACATGTTTGAGTAGGATCTAGAATGGGACATATATGATGATATCGCGAAAAGTACCTGCATGGAAAAAATGAGCTTGAGTTCCGGGGCAGCTATAACATGGAGAGAGACTCAACTGATCGAACAGAAAAGAAAGTTGTTCACCGGTTACTAAGATATCATCAATCCTTTGATCTTTTGGTTTCGAGTCTTTAGAAGACGATGCGTTGTTTTCCTTTCCAAAATTTTCAGGAGAATTTGCTACAGCAAGTAGTGCTGCTTGTTTTGCGACCAATTCTTTTAGCTCCTCTATTTCCTTCTGCATTTCCGCATGTTTGCTGTATACTCATCAGTACTATATCGCTCAAAGACGAGTTATGATATTAACATACTGTCTCTTTGCCACTCTCTTGAAATCAGAGTCTAATTTGCATTCGATGCCAAGACGCGTACATCTACAACAAGGTTTGAAAGGATCCTTTTCAACATTACAACCAAGCTGGGGGTGCAAGTTAGAAAAGTAGCTATACCGGATGTCGCGGACACTTACTTTCTGTTTGCCTACATTCATTACATGACTTTATAGAGTTTGGTATCTTGTGTGGTCGCTCCATTTGGTCACGAGATCTTTTTCCAATGCTCGTCTGAGATATCGTATCATCGGAATGAGGGTGATCTCCGTCATCTTTGATACTATTAGGTGTCATATTTCATCGGGCCTTTGGTTCCTCCTATTATGTAAATCGTCCGACGTCGTACAGGGAATTGAGCAAATTGCATTCTGATGTTGAACATTGAGAAACGTCAGATGAAAAGTCAAGTGAATGAAGCTTGAAGAACGGTTGTGGCGCAAACGCTTGCATTAGTCATAATTTTAGTCTGTGGCTGAAGGCTTACGTGGGCTTAGGTAAGCTAAGTTGACGAATTACAGGGCTTGACTCTATAACAAGCACTGAAGTCCGCTAGTCCACTATCAGCCCCCTGTTGTGGGGGAACGCCTGGAACATACGGACATTTTGGATTAGTTTCGAATATCATCACCCAGAAAGACAAGTAGGCAATATGTCATGGAACCAAACACTTAACCAAGCTGACATTGATGATGCATCGCAAGAATTGAAAGGCTAGGCGAGATTTCTATGTTATGAAAACTACTACGAGCACAATGAATATCTGTTCTTTTACTTGGGTATATTAGTAGCATGCCAAGCCTTGTGTCAAAAACGATAATAGAGATTTTCCGAAGTAAACTTCATCGATATTCTTCACAAGTCTTCGAATACTGATAGTAAGAGATGGACTCGGAGCTATCTCTGATAGGGAAGGTGTGACTATCATCTAGAGACGACGATCTTCGTCATACTTGCTGATAACATCTTCCCTCGCTAACACAAATCTTCTTTGACATTGTCTTCGTATTACACCTAAGTCAACAAGCCTACAATATGGTGATCCAAAGCGTCCTAGTCACCGGTGGCCTCGGCTTTGTTGGCTCGGCCATTGTCGATGCACTGCACAAAAGTACCCTTCTAGTTTAATCAGAATCTTGGACATTAGTGAAGATACCTTCGAATGGAAATCTAAGTCGAAATACCCACCAAACATCATTTTTGTGGCATGCGATATTCTAGATACGGAAAGGCTAAGAGATGTCCTTCGCCACACCAAGCCGGATGTCGTTATTCACACGGCCGGAATAGTTCCTCCGTTGAGCGAAAGATACCATCGCAGGATAGAGGAGCAAATACTAAATGTGAATGTCGAGGGAACTCGTAATGTCTTGAATGTGACGAGAGATGCTGGGGTAGGTGCATTTATTTATACAAGTAGCTGTTGCTCTGTGGTTGATGATTGGGCGCATCCTTATCCAAACATTGATGAACGATGGCCAACGGCGAAAAGGTCGTCAATATATGGCGAATCGAAGGTAATAAAATTCCGAAGTGGGAAGTCAATCTACTGATTTGAGTAAAAGGCAAAGGCAGAAAAAAACGTGCTAGCAGCAAATTCCCCTACGTTCTCAACATGCATCCTTCGACCATCAGTCATCATGGGTCCGGGCGACAAACAGCTTATCCCATCTATACACGCCTGTATAGCAAAAGTAGAGACCCCCTTCATTATTGGATCAGCCAATAATCTCTGGGATGTAACCTACGTTACAAATGTCGCGGATGCTCATGTGCTTGCCGCTGAAAATCTCCGCTCGAGTACACCAACCGCTGTCGGTGAGATCTTTTTTATACAAAACAACACGCCAATCACATTCCGAGATTTCAGCAGAGCTGTATGGAAAGAGTTCGGACATATCCCGCCTTATGAAGTAACGATACCGCAAGGTTTGGCTTGGGTAGCCGGTCTTTTGGCAGAAGCTACCTCGTGGTTGACCGGGTCAAAAGAACCTACTTTGAGTAGAGGCAGTGTGAATGATGCTTGTGCTATTAGATATGCGAGTGGTGAAAAGGCTAAACGAATCCTGGGATACGAAGCAAAAGTAGGTTTGGAGGAAGGCATCCGCTTGAGTTGTGAGGCGTATAAGAAGAGACTTGCGAACCATGAGAAAGAGGAATGACGCATAGTAACTGTTGATTGCAGCTCATCCTTAAGGTTAGAGACTTTGAGGATAAGAACAGTGGCATAAGACTTAGGTATGTAGATATGAATCGCAATGGTTGTTAAATCTAGGAATTCATACAAGTACAATACATTGAGCTCTGGCAATTAAGTCAAGATATTCCACTGCACTTGACAACCTGATGATCTCGTGCTCAGCTCCAGATATTGGTTCATAACCTCCACATATCAATCTAATACTATTGAATTTCATTTTGCCCTCTATATTTCTTGTATTGTTATATGTAGCACAGAGTATCGTCGTGCGGCTTTTGCATCTTCGGGTCAAGTCAAACAATTTTTACACGTCTCACACGCCAATTTAACGAACAAGTTTCTAAAGGTTAGCCTTTTTTTCAATGCATCGCTCTTCTTATTGCAGGATCTCTGCAAAGCAATTTGTTGCAGCTAGCCAGTATTTAGATTGTGCTTTGCGCAGATGCAGATTGTTGATGTGGACTACACGCGGACGCGTTTTTGAACACTCTTGTTGGTTATGTTTGCGAATCTGTCATTTGAGCTACCGATTGAAGCCAACAGCTATTCGATTAAGTATCACATTTCCTGGGTCGTTCTCAGCAAAAACTATACATATTTTGCGACCGACATTCTTATCGATTGCGAATATGGTGCATACACTGTGGGTTTAGGGAAATCAACGGCAATCCGACCCTGGAATGAGCTCCACAAAACAAGCTCAGAAACCAAACCTTCTCTCAACGTCGCGAAAGATAATTAGGTTGATAGAGGTGGTTTATTCTTCATATGCTGTTCTCGGATTCTACGCAGCAGTAACCGCAATGGAGATAAACATGAAGTCAAGATTCTAGTTTTCGAGACCACGGTTATTGAGTTGTCAAATATGTTCACTACGAGTGTAGTGTTCTCCAGGATTTTCTGGTGATAATTCTAGCTTTTATGAATGCTGTAGAATATCAGGGGATGGTCAGTAGATTATCGTGCGTTATAGGTGAGAACTGTGCTCTTCAAGCGTGGTAAAAACGTGTCTCGAGTCTCGAGTATCGTTTAGGATCAATATTCAAGCCACCGGGCTCGGTAACTTCTGAGATACAGTCCAAAAATCTTCACTTCACAAAGGAGAGAATTAGATTAGGGTTGATACGAAGAAATTAGTGATGGAGAGATCAGGTAATTGATTGAATTAAAGAGATGATTTCACTGAATGACATGGCCAACTTACAATTTTCAAGTCCCGTCAAAGTTGGTGTACTTCATCACTTGCAAGTCATCGCTAGTGAGGCCATTTCCCAACACTCAAGAATATTAACTGTATATATAACAATATTTACAAGAAACTATGTACAGAGCCATGCAACCCACCCACATCCACATATGTAATCGCCAATCCCCGGGTCTTCTACTGCCAAACCTGAACATAATTGATCAACCAATAAGCATTAGTAAATGCACTCGGATTCTGCGCAACATAAGCCTGACAAGTCGAAGCTGCACTAGCACAAGAGCCTGAAGACCAAACAGATCCTGCCCACGTCCCACAGAAAGTGGTATCAAAGACAATATTCTGACTTGCAAAAGACTTGTCGAAATTACAACCACTACCACTGAAGGTTGCCAAGGGGGTTCCCCAAGAGCTAACATCAATATCTTTAGCAGTGATGTCAGCTGGGATGGAACCTCGAGGCCAGAACCAGACGTAAATGCCAGTGGAAGCCCATTGCATCGCGTACACGCCACCACCAATTGCATTGAAGCCGGTGCCATAATTCTGGATGTTCTGATTTCTATGGTTAGTACATCCAAAACTTTGTGATTCGATATTTGCTGACATACGGATGTAGCAACACCGAATCCTGTACCCGCAATGTCTTGATTACAGTTTGAAGTTATAGTGGTTGTTCCACTCTGTGAATTTGCGTTGCTGACGGTACAGCCAGCGGCGGTGTGAAGTGTTATCGTATTAGTTGTGTCAAGGTTGACTCCCTCGATGATATCGATCTCTCTAGATATTCTTTAGTAATCTCATTGCCAGTTTGGACACCCTGAAGAGTAACCCACTATTTGGCCAATTTGGACCAAACATCCAGAATGCAGGCAAATACCACAAACGCCACCGGGCATGTGCTCGATATCTGCTATGAAGACGCCTTTTCTGGTCAGATTTTTCTCCATCTATGTGGAGAATATTCATACCTTCACCCCATGCTTGATTGCTGGCTAATCGCACACTTTCTCGTCCTCCACTTGGATTAAGTGTCGTATGATCCACTCCCAAGTATACCTGATTGTTTGCTGTGAATACTAGACCAGCTTCTTCAGCAGCAGCGAGTGGCTCATATACTACATATCCCGCTGTTGGATCAGCTGCGGTAAAGAATGTGAAATCATTGAAGAAGTTAGCTGCGTTATATGTGGCAGCGAGGGAATATTGGGCATTTGAAGTAGCAAGTATCGAAAGGAAGTAAATTCCAAGTGACAAAGTGGATATTGAGTTCATCATGATGAATTTGAGATGGAAAAAGCTATATACAAGAAGAAAGAAGAATGATAACAAGGCGTATCCTCTGAACTTCCATGTCTACGGTTTTTATACATTTCCTGTGCCTCTTTTCACCTTCCCCATGCTCAAATCAATAACGCGACAAAATCAAATGATAGCCATGATACACTCACTCATTTGCTTGAATCCAGATTCCATGAGATGAGGTTACAAGGGACCAGCACCAAGCATTCGGTCCTTCTTGCGCGGCTCTTCAGCATGCCACTATCATTGGAATTCACATGACAATTCTTTGATCATCGGAGATGAAACTCAAATCACTTGTACAATACGAAAGTCAATGCCTACGCGTCCAAATCGCTTTATGTTACATTCTGTATCTTGTGAAGGATATTTCCAGACTTCACATGCATGAAAAAGGAGAACCAAATCTTTGCGCAAAGGATATTTGCCTTTTCCTATTTCACTCTGCTCGGAGAAAAAGGATAAATAGAGTTTATTTGCAAGCGGGCTTACCGCAACTCCAAAGATCTTGTCGCCATCTATCTCTGTACCACATGAGCTATAGACACGGAGTTACAAGGCTGCGTGACTAAAACATTCTACCGAAAGGATTCAGCCGGAATGGAAAGCTTTTGTAAGGATAGTGATAACGTTTCCATGTATATATTTCCTCTCACTACCATCGCATTTTGAGATGATTCGAGAGTCGCGGAGATTGCTTATTCTAGAGTCAATACTCCCAACGATTACAAAGCTTCTAGATTGGTGGACTTCCTGGAAGAGAATTCTGCACTTGCGACAGTCCCTTGTTATATTCTCTATCTGCCTTGTGATTTCCGGGGGAGACAGGGGGAAGTGAACGCCTTCAGGGGTAAGTAAACTTCTAGCCGCCTGACATACCCGGGGTAGCTCGGTAGATCTGCAAGATATTTTTCCACTTCTACACATGCCGACGCTGGTTTTCTAATAATCTCCGACCCGGGGCTTTGAAGATCGATCTCCAGGTACTGTAGAACCTTTATGCTTAAATTTATAGTTATCTTAAAGGCCGACTGGAGATTACAAGTGTTTGAACGATAAAATGGTAACGTTACACATTCCCTATATTAACCAATCCGATATCGACTTGCATCTGCATCTGCTCTAATGACACAGTCAGCCAGATCACATTTTGACCTCTCATCTCTACCTCGTAGATGGAATGTGTCTTCATGGAACTTTGTTTTCAATGTCTTTCAATACGCTACAAAACCCATCATCCTCTGCCTCGCCAAACGAACTATAGAGACCTCCTAACAAGTGGAATCATCTGGCTTCAATATCCCCTTCCAGACCCAAGCATAAGAAATTGATTTCCCCCCTCCAAGTATCCAGAGACTTCATCCCATTCGTACATGATTCTTATACCCACCCCCCTTTCCTGTATGATGGCTCTGTATCAGTCAGCCCAATGATGAGAGCGAATTCCTTACCTGGGTAGACAACTACTTTTCAACAAAAGATTTAGCCCTTTATTTCTCCAGGAAATTCGCAGGCCATCAATCGCTTCGCGGGGGTCATGTAGGGAGTAATGACGAACTCATAAATTCGAGACTACTAGTTTCGAATCACTTGTTAAGAGGCCAGAAGTACAATCTTAAAGATATTAATCTAATGCCAAACTTGCCTATATTAATTAGCTGCCGTTACTTTGGAGTTCTACCTGATGTGCAGACATTCCATGAAACAAGTAAACACATCTAAGCTCCAAGTCTTTTCCAGTCATGAATACACAATCATTCACTATCAAAAGACTGAGATTATTCTTTGGTTATTTAATTCATTTCCATCAAAGTTTTAACTTTAAGCTACCTGATTTCCCACGCAAAAGATATTTCCCACCCAACCCGCAAATCCCGCATCATATATACAAGTTTTTAAGTATCCGGCCATTTAATTCATCAACATCATAAATATTTACCACCAATCACCGTGGTTGTGCATAGCACTAGCAACCTTGACGAATCCAGCAATGTTGGAACCAGCAACCAAAGATGGGAATTCGCCATCCTTTGCCTCGACGTACTTCTTGGCAGTCTCCAATCCATTCTCGAATGCGTTCTTCATGATGTCCTTGAGCTTCTCATCAACCTCCTCTTGAGTCCAGCTGATGCGAGCACTGTTTTGTGCCATCTCAAGACCGGAAACAGCGACACCACCAGCGTTGGCAGCCTTTCCTGGTGCGTACCAGATGGCCTCACCCTTCTTCTCCTTGCGCTCAGCCTCAAAGACATCGATGGCCTCTTGTGTGCAACCCATGTTGGATCCTTCAGCAATGTATCTAGCACCGCTGGCAACGAGAGATTCAGCCTCTTCCTTGCTGACTTCGTTTTGGGTAGCACATGGAAGTGCAACATCGACCTTGACGTGGGTCCAAGGTCTGGAACCCTCGATGTACTTGTATTTTCCTCCGTGCTCGAAAGCGGTGAGTGATTGTCTCTTGAGCTTCAACTCAGCGATCTTTCCAATGTCTTCTGGGGTGAAGTATGCATCTCCTTCAGCGATCAAAGAACCTTGAGAATCGGAGAGGGATACAACGGTGGCACCAAGCTCAATACACTTGAGAGCGGCGTATTGAGCAACGTTTCCGGATCCGGAGATGGCAACGCGCTTTCCTTGGAATGAACCTTGACCAGCATATTGGATCATGTGGGCGACGTAGTAGACGAGACCGTAACCGGTAGCCTCAGGTCTGATCAAAGATCCACCCCAGCTTCCTCCCTTTCCAGTAAGAACACCCTCCCATTTGTTTTGGATAGCCTTGTAGGCACCGAAGAGGAAACCGATTTCTCTTCCTCCAACGTTGATGTCACCAGCTGGGACATCGGTGTCGGCTCCAATGTGCTTGCTCAATTCGCGCATGAAAGAAACGCAGAATCTGCGGATTTCGTTGTCGGATTTGCCTTTTGGGTCGAAGTCGGCTCCTCCCTTACCACCTCCAATGTTCACTGTTGAGAACAATCGTCAGCGTATTATTCTTGATTTATGTCCGCTTCCATCGAACCGAAGAGTTGTGAGTAGTTAAGACTTACATCCAGTCAAAGCATTCTTGAAGATTTGCTCGAAACCCAAGAACTTCAAAACACTGAGATTGACGGTAGGGTGGAATCTCAATCCTCCCTTGTATGGTCCGAGAGCGCTGTTAAATTGCACACGGTATCCGCGGTTAACTTGGACTTGGTTCTTGTCATCTTCCCAGACGACGCGGAATTGGATAACTCTTTCTGGGATGGAAACGATCTTGAGGGCGGTACGGTATTCTGGGTTCTTCTCGAAAAGGGTGGAGTTCTCAAGAGTTGAGGCAAGCTCTGAAGAAATGTGTGTTAGTTATTTGTTGACATGTGAAGGCGCACAAGGAGGGACAAACCATTGTAAGCTTGCTCGAACTCGGGCTCAGATGGAAGGTTAGACATGATTATTATTGTGGTTGTTTGGGTATCAAATGAAGAAATTGGCAATATGAACGTTAAGTGAAAAGAAGGATAGAAGCTTGTAGAATGAGTAGAGCAGTAGAATGAGTAGAGCAACCGGCAAGACTGAAGGGAAGAGAGACCTTTTTGTATCGAGGTGGGGTGGATGAGAGTGAACGAACTAGTAACACTTTGGTGCCGGTTCAGGACCCATTGAATATTCGATGAAATGTGCTAATAGATTGTCTAGCTAGGAGAAGGCTTGTATGTGCATCCATGCCTCCAGTATTTTTTGTGGCTCCGATATTGGAGGCTCGGATAGAGGGGAGGAGGGGTGAAAAAAGTAATGAAGATGGATGACTTGATAAAGATTTTCCAATTGCATTCTTCCTGTCAAATCAATGTGTCTCACTCAATCTCTTGCATAATTGTGTTTACTATGAAAATGATCGCCTGTAGTGTAAAAATCTTCATTCTGTCAGCGGAATTGCATGTTCCATGAGAAAATTGAAGAAAATCTGATACATGACGTGACCCCCTCCACGCCGTGATCGGTCGTATCGTTACATTGCATATTGTATGGCTGAAGCTTTCATCCTACTTTACACATGGTGTATCTGCGTGGGACAATGGAGATATGTCGAAATATCAAATCTAATTGATCCTTTGCTTTATCCGCCCCCGTTCATCTAACCAAAATTAGATTAGCTTCAGGAAGTTTACCCTTTCCTTCTCTGGATCTTTTGCTTCTACTGGATGCCTGAAAAATCCCGACAACGGAAAATCATCCCGTTTTGACGATTATTCGACTCCAACTGAAAGAAGAGAAGGAGAGAGGTTGAAATCGACCAATGACATGTTATATACGGTGTCACCGATGAATCAAATAGAAATTCTTATCGTACATCTCCTATTGGTCAATAAGCATATAGATTAACAGCCCAAGCTTTCACGTACCCGGAATCATGCATTAGCATGCTCGGCAAACTTTTTTTAAATGCAATGTTGAGGCATGTATGGCGCATGCAAAGATCCCTAGCCACGCTGGGGTAACTTTCAAGGATAATTGACTCTGATGAAGATGTGAGATGGAAAAATGAAAGCCCCGCGCATCCAAAACCAGGCAGCCAGGCTTTCAGGATAAAAATGTTACAATACATCTCCCCGAGAGTTCCCAGTCTTCCTACATGTCCCGAAGTCTTGGAACTGGACCCATGAAATTATTTGGTAATATTTCATTTTGTTCCTGCAGAAGCGTAACAACTTCATCGTGCCACATCACCCTCATGTGGTTTTTCTTGCGGCAATCGCTTGCCTCAACTGAACACTTCGCAAAGCATTACAATATATCCGACGAAGGTGGCTCAAGGTGGATGCCAATGTTTCCAGTGTTCTTGGTGAAGATAGGAACAAAGATTTGTCAAAGTTGTGATGAATACTTCGTTAATCGGAAGTTTTCCGGTATCGGATGAGGGGTAATTTATGAGGGGAGATGGGGAGATGCGTGGTAAATATTATAGGAATCCCCCGAAAATAGAACAAGACCATTTCAGTCTCGACTCAAATTTTGAATTCAAACTCACAAAGTCACGGAGATACTTCATTTTAAAGGACGAGCCCAATTCAATAATTGGTTGCAACTTTCATCGATGTTTGGTGTACGGTGAGCCAAAAAGTGATGAAGGGGCTTTAGCGATTATTTCAGTGTGGGAGATGAAGACATAACAGAATGCTTCAGTTCTTCGGGTGAAGGTATAATTGAGTTGAGGACAAGATTCCTAAGACGGCTCACTTTGCGATTATGAATATTGCATTTAAAGTCTGGTTCATTCAATACTAATCAATCTAATTAGTCCGCATCAGTAGGATCCCAATCTGTCACCAAATATTCATCTAAGCCATCCATTTCTTTCATATCTCCATCCTCAATCTCAAAGCCATCGACATCCCCATTAGAAACGATTCTTTCTTTGGTTACACTCTTCGGCAATGGCACATAACCATTCTGTAAAGACCATTTTACCAATAATTGTGCGGGGCTACACGAATATTTCTTCGATAAAGAGACGATCTTAGGATGCTTCATTCGTAATGCTCGAGCTAAAGGTGCGTACGCTTCAACTACAATACCTTTCGATTGACAGAACGAAGTTATGTCGGTTCGAGTATTGAATGGATGGACTTCAATTTGATTTACAGCGGGAATTATTCGTGGCTTTGAATCAAGTATTTCTTGTAACTATTGGGAGGAGAATATTAGCCTCCCGTCTGCGACTAAGCGGAGAGAAATTGTACAATATTTAAAACATCGAGCCGAGAGATACGCCGAACAAATCCAGAAATTTAGGAACGATCGAGAGGAAATATTCATATGCGTACTTGGAGATTATGAAAAGAGGACCTGGAGAAGTGGAAACTTACATGTTTTACACCATAATTACTCACACCACCAGCCCTCACCTCTCCATCCGCAATAGCATCCTCTACCGCTCTCCAACATTCCAGTCTACGCTTTTTTCCGCCATACGGACTATGCAATAGATATAAATCAATATAATCCAAACCACTTCTCTTCAAACTATCCTTTACGGCCTTCCTTGTAGCATCGTAGCTTGTGTTTGTTTTCAATTTTGTCGTGAACCATAAATCCTCTCTTTTGACATTTTTGTTGGCACTCAAATACTTGTTCATTGCTGAACCGACTTGTGCCTCGTTCGCATACCATTCAGCAGAATCAAATGCGAGATATCCTGCTGCGAGAGCAGTTGATACGGCGGTTTCAGTCTCTCGTCCAGAGGTCATGTAAACACCGAGATGGATACGGGGCATTTGTACGCCATTATTGAGGGCAATAGTCTTGCTTAAAGATGATGGGCTAGGCATGTTAATATATGTATAAATTATATGTAGAGAGAGCGTGAGGTTTGGTAGATTTGGAGTTGTCGAAGCTTCTCAAACATTGAACAAGAGGGGGATAAATGTAAAGCGGTCAAACATGGCAAAATCTATCAGCCAGAAACATTATCGATGACGTCGCCTCATTTGACCTCCTTCCTTACCTGGAAATCACACTTGAAAATAACGACTTCAGCTGGTCTGGGATTCACAGAACGTTAACGAAATCACGATATAAAAAGATAGTAAATACCCTCTTACCATATTCAATTCGCGTCAAGCAAAAATACAAATCAACTTCAACATGCCAGATCAAGCATCCATAAACCGATCTCTCAATACCATTCGAACTGAGCTCGAATACTTGCAACAGAGTGGTGCTGTTGCTCCAGCTCAATTTCAATCAATTATGGCACAACTTCCTGTAAGTAGTCCAACTTCCTAAAACTCTATCCACATATCCGTGTCTCTCAAGTGTATTATTCCGTTTGTTCATCATTCTTGTATCACGATAACCGTATAGACTCAAAGTCCGGATATACTAACGCCAAGAGCAGCAAGGAAATGGTCAACCATCCCAATACATAGATCCTCGATATAATCCCAACGGTGGTTTTAACCCAAGTAAAATAAGCCAAGAAGCTCAAGATCCGGGTCATCCCGCACATCCTCAAAATCCTAAGGTATGTTACGTGGGCATTCAGTTCACGATGCGAAACTAACCAAACATAGCATCACGAATGGGCAAAGAAGATGGCTACTAAGTTTGGTAATGCAGCGGTTTTCGGTGCAGGAGCGACGTTTGGTGGGGATTTGGTTAATGATGTTATGAGAAAGTTTTGAAGCTCGGGATTAATTGCTTAGAGTCATAGAATAATGGTAGTTGACGGATGAGTTGAAGTGAAGTAAGATGGTTGGGTGATCTTAGAAAGTCTTCATTTCCCAAAATTCATGTAAATGCACTTGATAACACCAAGTGGTCAAATTTTGCATCGCTAATCCAAATTACCAAGCTTCTTCCAATGGAAACAGCTCTGTTATCTCACAATGAGCTGCTTGACTTGGATTCGAGTCAACGGCATGCAATTTTGTACATAGTATCTGGTTACCGCTCTCAAAAAAGAAACTGGTTCGTGCCGGCCCCGTCATTGCAATCCTATGGGTAACAAAAAGGGGCAATGGCAGTTTTCATACTGCAACAAGCATATGTCATTTTACCTTCAAATAGGTATGTATCTGTGTTAATCGGGGGCGTAACGTATTTCCAATGGAAAAGTACTATAACGACCCTTGGACATTCAACACTATTTATATTTATGGCAGCTCCTTCAGGGTGAAGCCAAATCCGAACTAAGTATCATTCTCGAGCTTCATTTCTATACTCAGACTAGTGTCTTTAGTTGCTCCCTTGATCAGATACATATGCTCCTCGATGATTCCCAGGGATTCACATCTTTTCAAAAGCTGCTCGAACTGCTCCTCTATATGAAGTGACATATTTTCATATCCAACAGATGGATCTGGCTAATACATATGTTTAAACCTCGGAATCAATGCAGCTTTTGGGCCTCGATATAAATTATAGTATTTGAACTATGGCCTCCGCCTTGTGAAGAGTCTTCCGAAAACACATTCTCGAACAGCATGGAAATACTAGAATCCCAATAATTGAAGACCACCTGAAGCTTCCTCGAGAGTGCGAAAAAGATCAAACTCTTCGTCAATATTGTACGTACACACAACAATCCTCCTGATACCCAAAACCATTTCAAACATGGTTTGTAGATAGCCTACTCTCCAGGACATCGAAAAGCATCGTTACTACCGAAAAGCGCCAAGTCGTCTGCGAGATACCCTTGGTTGTAATCGTAATCAACGCATTTCATACCGCCTGTTGGGCCGACGTGGGGACAGTGTACCTTTCTTTTTGTTAGTTGTTTGCTTTTATGGAGTTTTTATGAGAATACGGATGAGGGTAAGTATAATGATGGAGGAGGTAGAGTAAAGTAAGGAGAGAAGGGAAGATGAGAAGGAAAATCTCGACGTCAAGAAAAGGGGGAGAAGGGAAAAAGTGACTATTAAAAGATAGTAACCTGTCCAAAGACGAATAATAACTGAAAAGGAACAAAAAAAGTATCTCATACCTCGGGTCTAACCTGTGTCAAAACAACATGTACCAATCTACATACAATATTATCCCCCCACGTCTCATCAAAAGTGCCAAACGGTTTCGCTAAAAGCGTCGCTATACATTCTACATCACTTTTTGCGATTGCATTAGCATTTCCCTATGGCTACTCCACTTTCCTCGCCGGATCTTCCCGTTCAGGAAGATAGAAGAAGACGGCAAATAAAAATCGAAAGAAAACCTAGAACACACTTGATTTACACCCGTACATTTCGCCTGTATCTGCGGACACAGATTCGTCACAATATCTAGAGTTTGAACAGCGTCATTCGATATATCCGCCCCGGTGAATTTTGCAAACCAGAGGGAGAGATTGGGGATTTGGGCGTCGTAGTAGAGGACTGCTCCGGTGTCATAAAATCTTGAGGGTTTTTGTTAGAGGTTTTGGGTTCTTGTTTTGAGTTTTTGGGTTTTTGAGTTCGAGATGAGAATAGACGAGAAGGAAAAGAAAAGAGGAAGGAGGGCAAGGGGGAGAAGATAGAAGTCAGAGGTATGTACCGCCAAAAAGTAGTCTCTTTAATCTTGGTAACATATTGGCCATGTGAAGGAGAACCAGGATTCACAATCGTTGTATTGAGATAGGCGATTGTACTTGCGACTTCTGGACAGCCGGAGGTGAAGGCATGGAGTTCGTAGGATGTGAATGCGTTGTAATTTGGTTCTGGGAGTGAATGGTGAGTTGGGATTTTGATATGAGAGTGTGATTTGACGTGGGGCTCTGGGAATAGGATTTTGGGGGAGGGGATGGGGGACGGGGAAATGAATGAAAAGGAGAAACCAACGCAATATTCCAGCACCAGTTTGACCAGGAATAGGCGAAAGAGCAAAGAAGTATTCGGTGGAATCATTGAAACCGGTGAAATTTCCCAGGGGAGAAATACGACCTGTTGCTATAGTAGAGATAGAGGGGTTAGTTTCTCGATTTCTGAAATTGTGTCTAATTTCCAATTTTATGATTCGGTATCGGTGATTTCGTATTTGAGCACTGCTCGAATAGTAAACACGATTTCATCTGTGACTTTGAGGGAATTTGAACTTCGAACTTCGAACTTCGCAATTCGAATTCACGATTCTAGTATCCAATGTCGATTATCCAATATCCAACATCCACTCACCCGCACAACGAAACTCCCATCCAAACGAGCAACTACCCCTATTCACCTACCGACGAAAATTTCCAACCAAGAAAAGACGAGCAAACACAAACATACCATTCCCACCAAACAACCCCTCCAGCTTCGCCACCTCGCCATTCGCCAAAATCGGTAGATTATTAGGATACCTAAATCGTCGTATGCTAAATCCGATCTAGGTAATACTTCATCAAACGATAAATTCTGGTGTTAGCGAGAACGTGATTATTAATTAACCTTAACTTCAATGAGAGCGAAAGGATTGAAATTCAAGGATTGGATTGTAAGGATTGAGAATAAGGAAAATGAGAGAAATACCTAGTACGTATCCCGATTTCGGGCTTGGAAAGTGTGGAGGTGTATGTTTTTTATGGGTTTCTTTATGGATATTTTTCTAGAAGGGATATATATGAAGATATATACGCATGTGTGTTGGATTATTGATGGGGAAATTTTCATATCTAGTTTAGTGTTGAGTATCGAGTATTGAGTATTCAATATCTACCTACCTAGATAAATAAAACGATAATTACAGAAATAAATATTTCGGAATTCTTATATAATATAATAGTATACTCAACTAATTATTCGCAAAAAAAATAAAGAAAACAGAATAAGCTGATTCTTTTTCTCAAACACAAGTATAAATATAAATATAAACTCAGTATCTATATATACCTACTTATCTACATATATATATATATAGTAAGCACAAAAATCCAAAGACAAGAAGAATAATCAAGTAGTCAGCAAATCAAGTAATATCTAATTATCGATTAATATTCATCAGTAAATCAAGTAATACATACCTAGGTATATCAAGTAACGTCAGAAAATCAAGTGACATCACAAACACACGTTCCAATGTAACCTTAACCTCTCAACCCAAAGCAGCAAGCAAGTACCTACCTACCTAGGAAGTTCAACATCTCATCTTTCAGCTCCCTTCTATAACCATGACGATGACGATGATTAAGGGCATAGATATGAATGTGGATATGAACCCCGGATTATCATTCCTGTTCCTTGTCGCGATGATGATGGATGAAGAGGAGGAGGAGGATGATAACAATGACGACGACGACGAATAAAATGAAGAACATAACATGCGTGTAAGAAAAGGCGTTCGAGGTGATGTAACGCTGTATTCATTATATGCGTATTAATGTTATATGATATAATATAATATGATATGATTTCAAGAGAAATACCTTCCTTAGAGAAGCCAACTTAAGATTCCACTCGACGTAAAGGTTCCAAATCTGAGATGCTGTAAATGCTGTAAATGCTTCCATTCATTTGGGTATATAATTCGCTACACGTGAAAATCTCATTTCCATTTCCATTTCCATTTCCATCTCTCTGCATCTCTCTCTGCATCTCACTCTGCATCTCTCTCTCTGAATTTCCTAATCTCCCATACCAATATGAGAAGTATTTGTTACAAACTTCATCATCCATTCAACCAACCATCCCTCGCTAACGCCCCTCATGCAAAAAAAGAAGAACCCCACACAACTCAAAAATTCCCCTCTCAGCTCCTGATGCAAATCTAAGTTCCTCAACATTCAAATCCATTCCATCTATTCTATTAACGTACTATACAAGCACTTCCCCTCCTCCCTTCTTCCCTCAATATGCAAGCGTCAATCCCTTATCCCTATCCAATTTATCCACCAACACACTCAACGAGCCCGCTGCCACTTTTGCCGACGGTGGAGCGCGAGCTGGGAAATCTACGAGAGCAACTCTCAAAGCGGCAATTGCTTGAACTCCATAGAGTTCTATGAATCTTTGTTCCCAGCCTTCAATCATCGATCTCAAAGCTGTGTATTGTGTTGAAGAAGCTTCTTCTGTGGGTGTAGATACAATACTTGCAATTGCTCTCCAATAATATGTTGGTGGCCATGGATTTGTGAGTTTCACTTTTGAGAAATCACGGAGAGAAATAGCTGCATATCCTGCTGCTAATCCCACCATTCTGTTGTTGTGAGCTTGTTCGTCGATCCAACTTCCATCATCTAATCTTTGCCATCCTATTCGAGCTCTTCCTTCTTCTGTTTTATCATTTCCACGAAGTCCGAATACTACCGGTATGGAGACGCGCATTTTTGCCATTAGGATATCGATTAATGAAGTACCTCTCCATAAAAATTCATCTCTAGCAAATATCGAGACGGCAATAACACCAACAGGATCTGCCATTTCTGGTCGAACACCTGCTTCATTGATAAATTGAGAAACGATAGATTTCGAAAAAAAGTTGAGAAGGTAGATAAATAGAGAGGGAAGTTGTTCTCCATTATTTTGAGCTCCTTGTACAGGATTTGGTTTCGATACCATATAATTGCTAGGGTCGATTCCTGGGGATTGTACCGTTCGAAGAGATTCTCCAAGTAATGCCACGATTTTATTGATCTATCAAATATTAGTGCTCGTCCATAGTAAGTGAGCATTATCAAACTTACACACTCCCTATTTGCACCTCTTTCCCCAGTCAATTGTCCAACAGTTTGTCGAATTGCTCTTCGATAATCTCCCAACATCTTCTTGAATGGTATATTTTGTTTTCCTTCCGTCACCAAGTATTGCCGTAATTGTTTAAGATTCTTATGAATTTCAACATAACGTTCTACGCCTGGTAGTAAATGATCCCTGGAAGAAGCTGATAGTTTTGAGGTAGAGGTAGGTTGTTGTTGAGGTGTAGGTTGCGCGGATGGCTGTTTTGGTGGTTGTTGTTGATTGCTCGAGAATCCATTCGTTTGCTGTTGGGTTTGAGATTGAGGTTGCGAAAAGGCATTACCTTGCTGAGGAGGTCTGCTTTGACTGGTTTGTTGACTGGGCGCGCCGAATCCCCCTCCACTGTTATTATTCTGCTGCGGTGGCGGCTGTTGCTGTTGCTGTTGCTGCTGCTGTTGGAGAGGTTGAGATTGATTCTGAGACGGGTTCGAGGCTGTTTGCGCAGGAGCTCGAGGAACTTCAGCTACTGGTGGAGGGGTAGGAGGTTTCGGAGGGACAATGGGTATTTTTCTTGCAGCTTCTTCCAATTCTCTCCTCTTTAATTCTGCCAATGCGCTCAGCCTTTCCGTATTGACGCGATTTTCCTCAATCTTCAAGCGCATTTCCTCAATCCGCAATCTCTCCTCTTCAGCTCTGATCTCATGTTGGGCTCTGAGTTGTTGTTCGTGTATGAGAGTGATTTGAAAGATTCGCATAGCTTCATTCCGCACCCTTTCATGTTCCAGTCGCGCGGCTTCGAGGATCCCATGATGCAATTCCTCGGTATTTCGATTTTCGAATCTTATATCGTGGTCGTAAACTGAAGGAACTGGGACGAAGTTATAACTTTCTCTCAAGGCTTCATCTTCTTCATTAGAAGATTGATTGGTAGCCATTGTTCTGTTCGCTGTAGCATAAAGAGTGTCAAAAATATCGGGCAGATTGGAAGAGAGATGTGATGGTAATTTACAAGAAAAAAGACAGGAGTTGTAGGTGTGAATAAAGATTGTTGGAGTTGCAAAAGCAATACCTCTAATATGGAATTAATTTGGAGGTGAATTCTTGATAATCACATGACATTGGTATTTTGCCAAAAGGCGGTAGCTTCGAGCTGCAGGAAAGAGCTATCCTGTAGTTAGCCGGTGGTCCACGGGTGCTCTTGGTGGTTTGCATGAACAGGGATTATATAAGCAGGGATTGATAGTGAAATGGCCGAGAGGGATTGATGATGTTTCTATATTTAAGAGCTTGATAGTTGGCTGTAGATTCTCTCGATGTATACTTGTGCATTGTACATGAATAATATGGAGGTCTGATTGATTCTACGACGGTGGCACGCATCCAATTGGGTGAATTGAGCCTCAGGAGATTGAGTTTGACTGTTTCTTTCTTACTGTCTAAATTCCGAGGTCGTTTTCTTCTCTCGGTCGGTGAGGAAGGGAAGTTCTAACCATAAAGCTATATCCAAGTAAGAAATAAATGAATTCCTGGAGATGCTAGGGGAGTACAGAAGGACAAGGGACAAGGTATCTAGCCACAAAGACTATTCGCTACTGACGGACAGATAAAGACATCATGGATTCATGGATATCAAAGAGGTTCAAAGCTTCTCAAGCTGGAGCTTCCCAAGAGGGGAAGGTTGTCATCAATGCTCGATATCTATTGAGTCGTAGTATGTTTTATATTTGGTACCCATCTTTATATATCAGGATTCCATACTGGGTACTACCTCCTTCTACCTCTTCCGATAATGTGAAGATGAATGTGAATGAAACGACAAAAGACTCACAAAGACCACGCAATATCCATCAAATAGAAGAGCTCAATCCCATGCTCACCAATTTCATTTCCAGCATTGGCCAATTGAATCATTGTTTCACATATCACATACTTTCCAACCTGGATGTGTTTGGGTCTCCGTGGAGTCCGGACGTACTTTTATTACAATATTGCCAAGGGGGACGGATTCCCATATTCAGAGATTCAACGAGTGATCGTGCGCAATGATACCTACTAGGTCCCTAGTAGAATGATGTGATGTTTTTATATCGTAGGAACACTCTTTTCCAAGGAACGAGTGTAATTAAATATAAACTCTGACTTCATCATGATGATCAAATAGGAACGATTAGCGGTACGTGATTTGGGGGTTGATAAGGAGTAGGAGATATTACCTAGTAAGTCCCTCGTAGATATTAATAGGTAGGTAGGTAAGCAGATATAATACCTACCTAGGAGTGATGAATGGAGTAACCAAGTATTGCAGATAAGTAAAAGTATATTTGGTAGTCGTGTTGATCTATTTCCTTTGCATCTATCATGGTTATGGCTAAAGAGAAAGCAATTGAAAGGAATCCCAATGTGAGGTGTGGAATATGTAAAAGGTTCATGCCGTTGACTGGCTTGTATCTTCCTTTCAACCACATGGTAAGATCTTACTTATATGGGAAGGAGGGAGGAAGTTTCTTTGATTGTGTCAAACACCGAGGATTGCTCAATGCAAACGAACGAATGGAGAGATGGATGAATGAGCATGAAGCATGGAGAATGCAGAATCGAGATGGTATATAGAGCCAA